GTCTCTTCTCCCAAGTAACAAGCGATAGGACAAGAGGAAATGGCCTCAAGTTGTGCCAGGGGAGGTTTAGATGACGTGAGGAAAAATTTCTTTACTGAAAGAGTGGTGAAACATTGGAACAGGCTGCCCAGGGAAGTGGTGGAGTCCCCATCCCTGGAGGTATTTAAAAGACGAGTAGATGAGGCACTTAGGGACATGGTTTAGTGGGCATGGTGGTGTTGGGTTGACGGTTGGACTCGATGATCTTAGAGGTCTTTTCCAACCTCAATGATTCTATGATTCTATACTGCCTGTGCTCTGGCCAGTGCAGCCTTCATCACTGCCAGGGTGCAGTCTTGGTAATCTTATTGTCCCCTGCAATTCCCACCTCCTTCTCCTCAAGCTGATTTTTGTCTGGTGTGTTTCTTTTTACCTTGTCTACCCACCTGGTACTGTGGCATGGGCTTTTTTTCCTCCCATGTGCATGATTTCACATTTCTCTGGCTTGTGTGTCTTGCTGAGATGAGAAACCTGTAGCTATTTACTGAAGGTGATGTGGGAGACAGTGTTTGCACAGCTGTCAGTCTGCTGCGGGGACCATGTGGTGAACACTGGAATTTCCTGTTTAAACTGGGAGTCCACAGTACTGTAATGGATTGTTTTTAAAGCCATAATTAAATGTTCAGTGATTTTCTGTCTGAGATGCCTTGCCTTGCAGTCCTGCAATTCCTGTAGAAAGCACCAAGATGCCCTTGAGCTCCAGCAGATAATTGCACTACACACTGGGGTTCAAAGGTGTTTTCTGGTGTCTTTTGGACAGGAGCAGATATATTAGACAAAAATAACAGAAAAAAAAGATCATGCATGTGATGTTACATTTTAATACACTTGCAATTTCCAATGGTCTGTAGAGCATTGCAAGGATTGCTGCCTTGAATTCTCCTGGAATTCCTGAAAGTCTGTTCCACCTCCCTGAAAATATCCCAGTTGAGATGTGTTTCCTGAGCCACTGGACATGCATTAATGCTTTAAGCGGTCATCTAGGCCACCAGACTAAGTCTGAGTCCTACCTAGGATGTTTTCCTGCCCACATCTCTCCTTTCACTGCTGGAAATCACCCGTTGTTAGCTTACAGTGAAAGCACAGGTTGTTCTTCCCCATGTGCTGCTGGGTTTCCTGGGCTTTGATTGGTGAGCAGTGTTTCTCTCTAGACATCAAGCAATCATCTAAGTGGTATGAAATCAAAATCTGGTAAGTGCGGATCTGGTTTGAGGCTCCCTGCTTCCGATGGCACTGGCACTGTGGATGTGTTGTTCTAGGCGAAACGAGGATGTGGCTGGCTCTAGCTCTGACGTCCGTGGCCCATGGGATGGTATCCAGGCAATGCCTCTTTAATTTTCCATGTTCTAAGAATCCAGAAGCATGGATGAACATTGTAATTATGATGGCATTGGAGCAGAGGCAGTAAGTGTCTGGGAAACAGCCAGTATAAAATACTGATAGTTAAACACTACGTTTTACAGATTACCTTGAAGGCAAGCATCATGGAGCCTTGAAAACATTATTCTTTGCTTTTTTCTTCTTGCAGAGTGAAATGGTCTCTTTCTGGGGATACTCCAGTGAGGAGTATGATGTGGTGACAGAAGATGGCTATATCCTTCAGCTAAACAGAATTCCTTATGAGAGAGAAAGTGCTGGAAGCCAAGGTAAAATTGATATGTGTCATACAGGAAACCCACACCTTATGCTGTTGTCTTCCGACTGGGATACCAGGGCTCGTGCAAGAGGGTTTTCAACGTTCCCCATGGCTTGGTATCTGTAGCCTCTGTTTTGATCAATAAGAATTTGTAGGGAAGGCTGATCCCTTGCAGTGATGTTTTCTCATCCTGCATGGAGACCTGAGCATGGGTGATGCACCAGGCATGCTGCAGTCCTAGCAATGAGAAGCAGCCCATCCATCCTAACCACTGGTGCCTCACACACACCTTGGATTTTCTCTGGGAGCCTGGCTTCTAATATGTGGTCCTGCAGCCATGTGTTAGATCAGCAGACCGGTTTGATATTCCTTGAGGAGCTTCCAGAGGACCCTCTTGTCCTGTGAGAAGTGACAACTGGGAGGCTCTATATCCATGAAAAGGTGCATCTTATCCTATCACGTCTCCAGGCATCTCCATGTTTGCCTACAGAGCTCCCTGGGCAGCCCAGGTTCTGCTAAGGCTTGCAGCAAAGCCTCTCTGCCAAAAGCCTGCTGAGATGCAGAGTGTAGGTACTGCTCTGCTTGTGTCTCTGAAAATACCCAGCAGACAGTGTCCTTGGAGACAAAAGCAGATGCTGTGAGGTGTCTCTGAAATAGTAATATCGCATTATGTATTATACATATTTATGATAGAAATGAGGGACCTGCTACAGGGTGTGGGAGGCAAGGGTTCAATTCTCTTCCCCATCTCTGGGTGTTCAAACCTTTCCCTCCCAGCCCTGAGAGCATGGCCGAAGCAACGGTAGGTCAGATGGAAAAACTTATTCTGCCTCCTAGTGAAATTTGTCACTCCAGCAAAGAACGCACGAGCACATCTTGGTGGGCATGGCTGGAGATGGGGAAGACCTTCCAGCATTGTTCAGGGGTTAGAGAAAATAAGGAGCATGGGAAGACTTTGGGGTTTTTTATACTGTCCCCCAACTCTAGGTGTTCATTTTCTTAATGATAGGTCATCTGCAGAGGAAGTGGGAAGGGTGTTGGGCATAAAAGGCAAAGTGCTCTGAGATATGGTGCACCCAGTGCATCTGCTACATAGCAAACCTGTTTTGCTGAAATCAAGGGGAACAGACCTACCTAACACTGACACAAACCTCCGTACACTTTGGCTGCCATAATTAATGAGGAAAAGAGTCCCTAAACTGTCTCAAATGATGACAGACAGCATTAAAAAAAAAAAGTCATCATGATGCCTGTCTTCCAGGTTGAAGGCCCGTCACATTTCTGCAACATGGTTTATTTGGAGAAGGCAGCATATGGGTTACCAATTTGGCCAACAACAGCCTGGGCTTCATTCTCACAGATGCTGGCTACAACATTTGGATACGCAACACCAGAGGGAACAGTTGGTCTAAGTGACATCTGGTCCTGTCTCCCAAATGGGAGGAATTCTGGGCTTTCAGGTAAACGGGTAGTTTGAGGATCTCAGAAACAACTGACTTCTTTCGTCTTCAAAAGGTGATGCTGCCCTAGCTCGGGGAGAAATGAACCAGGCTGAACTGAAGCACATCCACTTATTTTAGGTGAAAACCCCATGTGCTTACCCAAGGACACACTCAGTAGGATGAAGAAGTTTGTGGGGTTGTCCTGCCCTCCTCGCTGGTTTTGTGGTTTGTTGGTGATGGTTGTTCAGATGTAGATGCTATGCCTCTCGTTAAGATGACTAATCTTCCTTCTGCAGCTTTGATGAAATGGCTAAATATGACCTCCCGGCAATTATAAACTCTATTGAACAGAAAACTGGGCAGAAGCAGTTATATTATATCGGCCATTCTCAAGGCACCACTATAGGTAAGTGGGTCTTTTTTACTGATCTTGATGACAGTATAGGATGTCTACGTTATCTTTGGGATTTGTAAAACAGTTCTTAATGAAGTTAAGCTGTATACATGAATGTCTTGAAAGAGTGAGCTGTTTTTTTCTTCTTTGCATTTTTTTTCAGCTTTTATAGCCTTTTCCACTATTCCTCAGCTGGCTCAGAAAATCAAGATGTACTTTGCTTTAGCACTTGTGGCCACAGTTATATTTGTTCAAAGTCCATTTAAAAAGCTCGCATTCTTTTCTGACTATGGGCTTAAGGTACCTTGGTCCAGACTATATTCTTCATAGCCAAAATAAATGTAGTTTTTCATAGGGATTGTGAAATTACCTACAGAGTGTATTTCAAATCATTTCCAGAGAGCGGAACTCCATGTTCCATCTGTTTTCATAATGAAGGGAATCACACATCTTAGTCCAGAGTCTTTCTGTCCTGTCCTGTTTACTCCCCAAAATGTTCTGGCAGAATTATAGCCAAGAGAGCTAGTGGTATGGGCAGATGTGCACACAGCAAGTGTCAAAACATTGGCAAATAAAACCAATGCGGAGACTGTGAATTTAACACATTTAACGCAAGAGTACAATGAATGTAAGAGGCCATGGATGTGAAAACCATGGAACAGAAGCATTTAATGAGGTGCAAGGAAGAGTCCACTCATGGGCAACCTCGCACCTCAATATGGGGGTAAAATAGAAGCTATGAAGCGGTGGTGCTTTGAGGAAAAGCATGACCTGTCTTTGTATTTTATGAGTACCTTTGCAATTTTACAGGAGATGTTTGGCACCAAAGAGTTCCTACCACACACTGCCTTGGGTGAGCTGGTCCTTTTCAAATTCTGTGCCTGCTCAAAGACCTGCAAGAGCATCTTGTCTATGCTCTTTGGATTTAACTGGAAGAACATAAACATGGTATGTAGGAATAAATCTGCAGAGGGCCCTCAGTGTCATTCTGAAGGACAAAGCCTTGGCTGCCCTGTTTCGTGGAGCCAGGTGAAACCCGTTGTGAAATGCGCTTTTTTCCTTTAGAGCCGAGTAGATGTGTACGCGGCACACTCCCCAGCGGGGACTTCAGTACAAAATGTAATCCACTGGTTGCAGGTAAACCTTCCCAGCTACTTTCCTATGTAAAACAGAGTACGGAGTATTTTAATGGTTCTTTGTGGCCAGTCTCTTGTGTTGGTTGCTGCAACACATCAGTGGTATCTTTGTTGGTTTTGTTTTCACCCCTTCATAAAGTGCTCGGCAGCTTCTTGAGCTGCCTGTACATCATCAGGTAGAGTGGCCCCAAAGGAGTGGATCTGCAAAGAGAAACATTTGGAGCTGAGGACCCTGCATCCACAGCAGGCACATTTCAGGGGTCTTATTTCAGACTAGCTGCAGTCTTGCCCTGCAGCCCGAGTGCTGTTAGCGGTCAAACTGCAACAGGGATTCTCCCAGACAGCATCCAGTTAAGCTTATTACCAATTAAGCTGATTATTTCTCCTTCTTCCCATTGTGGGCATGGAGAAGTCACTACCAGAGCCCCTCTGACACTGAAATTGTGCTATGCTGCCCTCATTCTCTCTTCCCTAGGCTAAATGTACACAGCTGTTTGCACATTTCTTTGTAGATTGTGGATTCAAATGGCCTCTTCTTGATCTCTCCTGGACCCTCACCAGTTCATGCATCTTCTCTGAAGTGCGTGCCACAGGCTGTATGCGAAGCACAGCTTCTTCCTAGTGTGGCACTCCTACTCAGAGACCCCAAAATAGCATTGTGGTTTTTGTAGCAAGAACACACACTCCATTTTCTGAAGTGCTGTTGCTCAGTGGTGTTAGTCCTCATTCTGTATATGTCCACCAGTTTTTCTTTTCTATGTATAATTTTTTATAAGATTCTTTACTGGCCTTCAGCTTATCTGATGAGCAGTGAGTGACAAAGAGCAAAACTAGGGGCAATGCACACAAATTACAGCCCAGGGGGATAATGTTGGAGGTGGGGAATCCTTCTTCCCCCGGAGTGGGGAGCAGCTCTGGGACAGGTGCCCAGGGAGATGGGGGTCTCCATATTAGGGGGGGCTCGGGTCCTGGCGGGGTCAAGCCATGGCCACCCTGACCTTGTATTGCTGATAGGCCTGCTCCAGTTAGACAAGAGATGTTCAGAGACTGCTTCCAACCAACACATCTTTGATAGTATCATTTCAGGCCAATTCTTCAGTCTACAAGGAATGTTTTGAGTTCTAATCCCATTTTCTAGAACATTTTAATTTCCTCCCATCCTGGTCTTAACCACAAACCATATAAATATAATCTCTGTTCATTTATCCAAATTAATGACAATAATTAGTTGTACTGGGCCTATGGCAGACGTGTGAGATGAGATAGATGATACACTTGAAAAATCTTGCCAGTTCAATGATGAAAACCAACTTTTGAGTTTCCTCTTTTAAACTGATTGCACCCCCCCCATGGAACTATGATTTCGTTTAGACCATTGCATGTCTGAATTTGCTGCAGGGAGTTCAAAGCGGTGCACTGAGAGCTTATGATGGGGGGGCATGTATAACAGTCTTTGCTATAGACAGGTAAGCTGCTTCAAATGGCCAAGGTCATGGTCTTCCCTTTCACTTACACATTCTGTTCCTATTCATGCCTGGTGCGGTTCCTCTGAATTTGTTGTCTCTCTTCACAAATTGGGCATGCAAGTAGCAAGTCAGCAGTTCCGCTTGGAACAACAGTATTTTCAATTCTAAACTCTATTTTACAAATACCTTCTAAATGGAATAAAGTATTAGATGCTTTCCACTTATCCAGCATTTTTGTTGGAGTCCATAATCTGCCATAGAAAAGCAACAATAATGTGACCAGTTACTATCTGAAACCTATAAAACTGAAGTCTCCATGCTGGTTGTAAATTGTTTAGCCATGATGGAAAGCAAGGTGCTAAGCCCTTCTGCCGCCCAGACCTAAAGTCACAAGCTGAATGGTGAGCAGTTAACTCTGCATCCCTTGGGAGCTCAGGCAATTCTTGTTCTATGTCAAGAAAAGACATAGAAAAAAAGCTTCTTTCTTCCTTAAGCAAGAAAAATCAAATTGTTCAGAAAGTGGCATGCTTCTTAACTGGAATAATTACACTGCAGATAAGGAGATATGATGCTGACAAATCACCTGATGGCAAGTCCTCATGGTGTTGAGCTAAAGCAACCTTCCAGATGTGTCTTATTTTCAAGAACTTGCTTCCGAACAATTTCCTGCTGTTATGAAGCTGAAGGAAAGACTAGTGCTTGCATGAAGTGTAACCACAAACTACAGCAGAGCTGGTTGGAAGGGACCTGTAGAGGTCTCCAGTCCAACCTCCTGCTTGAAGCAGGATGATCCACCAGCATTAGATCAGGGCAGCTAAAATTTTGCCAAAGTTGATGAAATTGTCTGTAGTATCAGAACCAGAATTTCTAACAGGAAAGAACTAATTTATGAATTAATTTAAATTAAATTTACTAATTTAATTTACTCATTAAATTGTAGCACATAAGGCTACACCGCATCTTTTAATAAAATTTCTTTTCTTTCTAGAAGAAAACCTTTCCAGTTTTTTTTTTTCCTTAAAGGATAGCAATTGCTCTTGCACCATGCATATTTTATTGCATTGCAGCAATGTCTCTCCTTTGTGAAACCCTAGTCTTCCATCTCTTCAGATGGGTCCGCTGCTCTACAACGTGAAGGACATGAAAGTGCTGATGGCCTTCTGGAGTGGTGGAGTGGACTACCTGGCTGATCCCCGAGACGTTACCCTCCTGCTCCCCCAAGTCAGGAACCTGGTGCACCACAAGGTGGTTCCCCAGTGGAACCACCTGGATTTCCTACTGGGGCTCAATGCAACTGAGGTTTTGTACCAGGAAATCGTTGACATGATGAAGAGGTATCCGTAAAGCTGCTGTTAAATTTGATACATTTTTTGCTGATGTGTCTTGTAAGATTAATGCTATCTTTAAAGGATTTTGAAATTTGTCACTATTTGGACCACCTGAATGGAGTTGACTAAAATGTTCTGCTTTTGACTAGAGCAGTGACAGAGTGGGGAGAGGAGCCTTTATGCTATTCCTGACTGGCACTTCATTTCCTTTCTTCTTTCTTTTTCTCCTTTTTTTTTTTTTCCCTCCTTTTTTCCCCCCTCTTTTTTCTTTTTTTTTTTTTTTTTCTGTTTTTTGGGGGTTTTTTTGTTTGGTTGGGTTTGGTTTTTTTTTTCCTTCATCAGCCATATTTATTTACAAAGTACAGGAAACATAGATGAGGAAGCCGGGTTTTTAGACATTTCATTAAGACTGATAGCACAGTGATCTATTCCCTGAGACACGATGGATCCTGCGTAGCCTTTCCCATGTAGTTAGCTTTACAGTGCCTGCAATTCCCCTGAGACCTGGGTGTCTGGACCCCCTTGTAACTCAATTGATTCCTGGCTTCATCAGAGACACAAAATTCACTATTGTCGTCTCAGAGCTGGCACTGTTACCCCTGGACCTTTAAAACTACCAACGTGGATCAGAAAGAGATCTAACAGGTCTGTGGTGAAAAACCACAGCAGAAATACATCTCCTTAGAGGCAATACAGTACTAGTGTTTTTGAAATTCAATAAAAATTGTAATTAATCACATTTTTAATGTGGGTGGGTTTTTTTTCTTTCAGCAACTGAGAAGCCAAAAAGGAAGAATCAAGAAAGAAATAAATCCTGAGAAGTAATTATAAGAAAGACAGTCCAGCATGTGATTCTGATGCGCAATGTGAAAAGTCCAAATAAAAAAGGGGCTTAGGGAATGTACAAAATGCCTACGTCTTAGGGTTTATCTGAGATGTTTTGGTAATAAGATTGAGTCATTCGTTTTGTGTTGCGTATTTTCTGACTAAAGTGCTTTCTTCAAATCCAGTATATATACACGTGACCAAGCAGCACTGCAAAAGTCATCCCTGGTAGTGCATCATTTATGCAGCAGGCCAGGCATGCAGGTAGCTGCCAACCACAGAGGGTTCAGTCTATGTTTGGCTGAATATTATTATCAATATCAGTACTTCACAAAGAAATAAGATGAAGTCTGGCTACTTTACAAAATAAGGCTTCTACATATTCGTGTCTTTACAGGTTTGGGACAAATTGTGTTAAATATTGCCAGGTTCTGAGCATTTGCTCCGAACAAAACTGCAGCAGCTTTTCTTTGCGTGGGCAAGCATGTGAGAAGACGGTTCTTCATCCTAGGCTCCTTACACACATGGAAAATAGAGGCTGAACTGTTATACCTGAGTTAATATGAAACAAAATTTGCAGAATCTCTGTAAAACCCAACTCAATACATTGACCTTTAGTTAGAAACAGAAGAAGAGTTGGCTTGAATTTCAATGTGAAACATGGTGATGGCTTTTTTCCCATTTTTAGCAATATTTTAGACTAACCAAGGCATGTGGTCAAAAGAAAACAGGTCAGGGAGTTATTCCTTGTCTTAAACAGGACATCTGCTTTCTGCCATGAGAAAGAAGCCTGCTCATCCCATGCAGCACCGGGATGCTCTCTAGCTGCCGGTATCACGTTGACTAGCTGTTGTTTAAAACCAGCTATTTTTCCTGTGCTGTAGTACAGGAAATGTTTTCAAACCTTCAATGCGGAAAGACATCATCCTTCAACCTAGCTGATCACCCCCAATACAGCACCTCTTATGATGGATTGCAGGTCCAGCTGCATCTCTCATGGCATTTACAGAGAAAGTGGTGATCTCAGAGATGTCATGATGTGTTGACAACTTTTTCTTTAGCCTGAAGGAAGAACAGTTATTTTATGACAACATCCTTGTTTCTGCCAGCCAAAATTCTGAGGCTCATCAGAAAAACTTGATAAACACGTTAATGATGTGAACATCAGAAGAATCAGCTTGTTTCAGGGAGGAGGAATCTAGTTGTGAGGCAAAGCAACATTTCAAGGAGAAATTACTCAGTCATGCACTGGCGTACTGCCGAATTTTCAGTCTGTCATGCTTCCTTTAAAATTTCCTGGAAGACCGGCATCACCAAGAAGTAGCCATGAAAGGCAAAGTAGATATTGATGAGAGGTGGGGGGGAACACAGAAAATAGTTTTGGGTGGAGAACAGTCTTTCCAAATGCTGTTGTGGGTTATTTTTGATAACAGAATTTGTTACTAGAATTTGCTTGGTAAAAGTGAATGACAGTGATTCCTCTCTGATGCTGGACGTCCTTGTGCTGGCCTTGCTGACCAGTGTAGGATGCTACTGTTGTGCCAGCTGAAATGCTCATCTTACCTGGTAGTGTGCCTCCAGCAGAGCAGAGCAAGGCGGTTGGGACTCTTCCTGCAAACAATCTCCCAGCTTCCCAAGCCAGCCGTGATACTATTGAATGCTCTGTGATGGATATTGCAAGTCTTTTCCCACTTGCTTTATCAATCCTTGTAAACTTTTGTCATCTACAGCACCCTTTGGCGAGAAGCTTCACGGAGTGACTCCTAGTGAAAAACACAAGAGCACAGCATAGCTGTGGCACAGTGGTGATGCTCTGTGTTTGTTCCTGTGCTGCTTTCTTCATAGGTCCTGTCCTAAGCCTTTCTTCTCTGAAGAACAAAGTCAGCAAGCAGAAATGAAAATTTAATGAAAGTTATCTATGAAGAGAAGCTTGCATTCATTACAGTGTCCTGGTATATCACAAAGCCACATTGGTTGCAGTAAATAATTCATGATTTAATTCTTTTTTCCCCCGTTCTTCCTAAATTAATGAAAGTTATCTATGAAGAGAAGCTTGCATTCATTACAGTGTCCTGGTATATCACAAAGCCACATTGGTTGCAGTAAATAATTCATGATTTAATTCTTTTTTCCCCCGTTTTCTTCCTAACATGTTGCTTCTGCTTCTGCTCATTCCAAGAAGCTTTCTGTAAAATTGTCTTTTGAGGTAATGCTCTTTACCTAATCAGGTTTTTCAGTTTGTTCAAGACAGTCTGTTTCCAGTAAATACTTTTGTCTCTTCTAAAAAAATAACTCTTAAATTTTATCGGATGATCAAATTATCAGATTAGGCAATTGTTTACTTTTCTATCTTTAAGAAATTCTCTAAGCATCTTTCTGTAGTACAAATTCTTGTGTAAGTTAATCCTGTTTAAACACTTCTTTTTTTTTTTAATTCTCTTTCCAGTTATGCAGAAACAATTTGTCCAAAGTAAAAAAATGCAGCTTCACTTGGTATTTTGCCATAGGTACAAAAGGATTTTTCCCTGATTGCTTTGTCTCCTTCGTTGGGCTTAAACATTTTCTTTCTCTTTTAAAACCCTGAAACAAAGCCGTGACCCAAATCCTTGCTGAAATGAAAATAAATCAGCTCCCAGCAGCAGGAGATGTTTGCAGATGTGACACATGACACGTGGCTGGACCCAGGAGGTGTATATAAATAAATAAATAAACAACCCCCGAATCCTTCCCCAGGGGCAGCAGCTCTACAGAGGGGACTGGAGACCCCGGGCATGGCCCCTCAGCCAGGAGTCAGGGATGCCCCAACTCACCCGGACACAGCCCCCAGTGACCTGCTACTGTGGTATCCCCCACATCTCCTCCCAGTGGGGTGTGCTTGGTGGACACCCGAGGAGCTGGGAAACACGGTGCCCTTTGCTGGGACCACCGGGATGGCACCCAGGTCCTCAATGCATATTAGCACTGCTGTGAGGCCATCACCACTCTGTGGAAGGAGAAGACCTCTTTTATTCCATGCTGGTTTTGTTGGAAAGGGTAATTGAAGCTCACCAGGCTGCGTGCTAGACTCCACCACCTGCTCAGTCAGCAGATTGTCTTTTGGCTGACAGATGAACATGTCCCTAAACAAAAGGATGTCAAACAGGCTTACGGGCTCCTGGAAGAGCAAGTCTCAGCTGGCCGGCTTGAGGAGGAGCTGAGTTGCTGCTGCACGAGCTGAAATCCTGAGGTCCCCAGGAGACCAGCAGAGGGTTGTGAAGGGCTCTGAAGGCAGGAGGAGAGAGCCACAGGTGTCACAAGAGGGACAGTCTCGGCACTGGTCTCCTGTCAACACCAGCTGGTGGGGTGGTCAGGGAGGTCCTAGCCCTATCCTCCTGGACCCACAGGTCTCCCTTTCTCTTTCCCATCTTGGTCTTAACCCACAAGGGCTGCCACTTGTTCCACCCTGCAATGCCTCCGGCAAAGGTTTGGGAAAGCAGTGGTCTGTTTCCATGTTAAACACCATGTCATGTCCCCAGACCCTGCCTGGGTTGTCCTCCTGGCATGTCCTCCAGGAGCAGAAGCAATACCACCTCTTGCTGTCCTTCTCCTCCTAGGAGCCACCAGCTCCGACCCAAGACACACAAAGGGGGTTAAGACAGGCTGTGAAATCTTATACAAGCCAGTTGATCTTGTTCAAGCACCGGCGGGTTTACCAGCCAACACCCTCTTCATTAAACCATTTCTGTGATGGTTGGCACCAGGACCAGTGTGCGCGGTGCCTCCGGGGTGCAGCCGTGGGCTGCAGGGTGGGGTGCTCTCATCGCTGGGACGAGGACACCATGACTGATGGAGAAGGAGCCCCAGGGCCAGGTAGCATGGGGCCGGGACATCCTTTTTGAGGGCACGCATCGGCTAATTCAGTGGTTTCATACAAAAGGTGACACAGAGGCACGTATTTTCACAAGCAAAATTCCTCATGCTAAACATGCATTTTACCCAAAGGTCATGGCATACCCAAACCAGAAATTAAAAAGGAACAAAGATGCTGTTGTCCCCATTCCACCTTTTATGCACTGAAATTATATCAGTATCAGGAATGAAACAGCCAGAAGGCAAAAGGCAAGGTTGAAGTCTGAAGACTGCCAGGGGAGAGAGAAAATCATGAGTGTTATGAGAGGTCAAACCTCAGCCCTTTGGGTTTCTTTCTACCAC